GAGGCTGTGTACTCCAGCATGAATGAGATAGAAACCCATAAATGATTGTTCAACAATACTGTGCAACAAAATGTGAGGTAACAGACCAAAAAAGCTTATGTGCATTTCTGTTGCTTAGGTTTTTGGGCTATTTCCAATACACCTAATGGACTGGAAAAGAGGATCAAACATTTCTGAGCTCTCAATTTACAGATGACCACACAAAAGATACGTGTGACCTACAGCTCATATGACATGTCAAATGGAGATCTGGGGTTAACTGGCTACACTCAATACTCTCTTACAGCAGAGATGAATTTGCTGCTATATTGCAAAAATATACAAGTTCAATTTTATTCCCTATTTAGTCTGATACATCTGATACATAAAGTACTGCAAGCTTATCATGAGCTAATGACCATTTTTAAATTTTATCCACAATGAAGAGTCAGTCAAATACTTGAACACTGAGTGTTAGAGAAGTCAAACAATACTAGCTGCTTCAAGCACTCATTTTAAGACTGGAGCAGAAAGTAGGACTCGGCAACAAAGTACCTTTTATACTATTCAGCAAAGAGGAGCAAATGGAGAGAAAAGCCTGTAAAATGTGCTCATAAAGCTTTTGGAAGAAAAGTATGGGCTTCATTCCTGCATACTTTCCCTGTCCCCAATACCATGGAAAGCCCCAATGCATGAACCCTTCTGAGATAAAAGTTCTTCAGAATGTTGTAATAATAAACAAAGAGATGAGAGTGCAATTAAATATAAATTGTGTACACAATTATGATCATTTCACAGTTCAAAGACAAAACAGAGAACAGCTATTGTGCAGTATATTACAGGAACTACAGTGACATGGGATAAAGAAGTTAAGTATATTATAAGAATGCTTCACTACCACTTACAGTACAGAGTACATTGGGTTTTTTTCAAATGTACCTGTCCAAAGTTAGTCATCTAAATTGATATGGAGGCATATAACGAATTAGCCTGATTTTCAGAGCCCCCTCTGCTCCTACTGACAATATGGATTTAGGTATATAAACTTGGATAACATTACCTTCGATTTAGGTATATAACTTGGATACTTTACTCAGCTTGAGGTGGATATTTTTTCCAAGCTAAAAATGTCCTTTAAAATACTAAAGAATTACAGATTTAAATATGTAATGATTATAACACAAAAAGTCTTGTTATCTGATTTTGAGGTAAGTCAAGTGCTACTAAACTCTTGAATATTCCATTGCATTAGAAGCTCATCCTAAAAAAATGTATATAATAATTTATAAAGCTTTTTTTCATTCATACAATGTTTATAAAAGTCATTTATTTCATATTATTCCCTTCTCTGTAATATACTCTGGACTTTTCTTTACGAATTATACATTTTATCTGAACATTTTCCATGTACAGGAGGAAAAAGGATTGTGTTTGCAGTTTCACTGCTTTTTAAAGCACCCTACCAAATATAAAGTATGTCACACACCTGGTAAAGAAAGACTGTTCCACTTTTAAACAACTACTGTAATATTCATGTTATGTTGGTGGCTCTGTTTATTATAAAAAGACAGTACATAACCATATTGCAAGAGAAGCATAGTATTGTACAATCTTAAGCATTGACCATGAGGAAGGAATTTCCAAGGTTTCTCCTTCTACAGCCATGGTCATAACTTCTCTGCCTCTTTTAAAATAATTCTTACTTAGCAAGGATGTCTTTAAAATGTCAACATTCACCAACACAGTTTTATCTAAGATTATTACTGCATTTCCCTGTAGTTAGAACAGGTTGTGTCATTCCAATTATGGCAAAAGGAAACATCCATGCACAGATTCCTAATCTATATGCAGAAAGGGTCAGGCACCATTTCACCCTTCCCTTAAACATCAAATTGCTTCCTTTGGGCTGAAGAATCTACACCACTGAAAGGAAAGAATCTCTGCTAGTGGAACCTTGAAGGCAATTCCTCCAGACTGCAGCCTGTCAGTATGTTTCCATGGAAAAAGAAGTGACAGGATGGAGCCATTGATATCTCAGTTGTCCTTGTGATATAGCTGTACACAAGTGCTGTCTCTCTTCAGTTCTGAGCACTGGGCCTTCAATTTGTATGGGACTCTAAAACAGTTACGGTCACACTCAGATACACTTACGCTGAACAGTGCTTTACTCCATGAGGGATCCCAATAAAGGGTTATTCAACACTAATAAGCATATCAGAATTGGATCCTTTAAGTAATGCCTGTAAATTTCACCTATTCAGAGAGAATGAAAGCAGTGCATATATGGAAGCATATTGAATTGGTGCTCCAATTAGCTCAACAACTATTTTAATAATTTGCCTAGCACTCTATACAGATATTGACTTTCCATCAAGACCTTCTGTAAAGGGCCTGCTGAATGTATATGTACCTTCTAATTTTATACTCCTGTTTATTTCACCAGACCTTTTAGGTTTACTACATTAAGTTGCACAAGATTTATAAGGCCTTCATTTTAGCTTGTTTGGCATATTTGTGTTTGCATGAGCTATCTCAGTTCCTCAGAATAACTCTTGGGAGGGTTCCATAGTAACTGACAATATGGAGGCTCACTGCTGCATACAAAGGGGCCGATCCTCAGCTGGCATAAATTGTCTCTGCTCCATTCCCTTTCATGGACTTCAACTGAGCTACAGCAGTTTACACCAAGTAACAAACTGCCCATGTGTCTTTTCATTCCCTGTTAGTTGCTGTGGGCCGTACTGTGATATTCTCACTTCGGTTTGGCAGTTCCCTAATCCCACTGACTTCAGTGGTACTTCACATGATGTAAGGCTTTATAGAAAGGGTGAAATCCTGGCCACACTGAAATCAATTTGAGTTTGCCATTGACTTCAATGGGGCTAGGATGTCACTCTGTGACTGTCTTTTTCTTAGCATGTGAATAGGATTCATTGCTGGTTAGATCATTAACTTCTCTAATATGCGCCAGGTGCCGATGGGGAGTGTGATGTGAAACACTTTATCATGTGTAGTGAGATCACATTCTAATCTGAGTTGATACATATCATATGATTTTTTTTTAAATCTCACAAATAGTTTTAAGAAATTGTACAGCTCAAATATATAGAGAATATTAAACATCTCTGTAACAATGAAGAGGGAAAGAAGTTATTCAACTCTGGATCACAAATCAAGTTTAGAAAACAATATGGAAATTGCCATTAAATGGTAGGCAAGCAGTGGCATTCAAACTGCAACAGAAACTAATGTATCTCATGAATCAAAATGCCATATTCTATAATGAGACGCACAAATCTCCCCTTCATCTTCACTGCATTCCTTCTTACTAGGATCTCAAGAGCTCTCTCTATGGCATTTGGAAGCTAAATTCTGACCTAGTTTCATAATTGCCTGGAGGATACAGAGAAGTGGTAGCAGCATACTAACTACATCAAGGAAATACAAGTACAATGCTGATATTAGCAAAATGCTTATCATTGTCTGTAAAAGAACCCTTTGCATTTGAATAGTTAACCTACCCTGGCAAATTGGGGCCAGCTGACTTCTCTGCTGTCTCTCTGAGGGCCTTTAAAAGCCTCAGCAGTTGGAGGCTGGAGAGGAGAGTGAGAGGACGAAAGGAAGGTGGTGGAGAGGCAGAGAGGAAGAAAGGGAGAGAACAAGTTGGACCAGCATTAGGTAAAGGCAGCAAAGGAGGGAGCCTGTGGGCCCCTGGCTCGGGCTCCCTACCACTGAGACCCGCTGCAAAACCCCAGTAGTGGCTTGGGGAAGAGGGGCCCTTGCCACAGAAGAAAAGGATATAATAAATTAGAAATATTTGTGGAAGCTTTCCTATTCTTATATACATAAGCTAAATAGCAGCCATTTATCATATTAGAAGCTTTTCTGGGACTTCATCCTACAGCTTAAGTTCATGTGAAGCTGATCAAAGACATAAAAGCTGTACATTAATGCCATGTCACATAACATTATGCAGTGTGGAAATGTAAGTATAAGAAACCCTCTTGCAAAAACCTATTTATTTTAGTTGCACTTAACATTATGGAACTAGCAATATATTAGTATGGTGTGATGAAGGAGTTAGATGTGTACAAGAATTCTTCAGCTACATTTGTATAAGGACTAAGCAACTCTAACACAAAATGTTAAGAACCCCCAAACACAAGGTTTTTATACAGGGATAGTATTCTCAGAGCATTTAAGATCTTACAGCGGTAAACATTAAGGAATTATGAGGAATTTTTATTGTGAGTCACTCAAAGTACGGCCTTTTTGAGATGCTTAGAAAATAAGCCAACATACAATTTCACTTTTGATGTAGCAAGCTCAAACAATCTCAAAGTCTTATCACTCCTTTAATCAAGCTTGTGCAAATAGCTTGTGCAAAGCTGAGTGAAAATCACATTGCAAGAATAATGTGTGATGAGGCCAATTTCTTAGTATAAACAGAGTCAAAGCGCTTAGTATGGAAAAATACCAAAATAGGTAAAAAGTCTCAGAGGGGTAGCCGTGTTTGTTTTGTTTTGTTACAGACTAAACAAATTAAAAAACCAACAATGATCCTATAGCACCTTAGAGACTATACATATTTTTGGTTAGTCTTTAAGGTGCTACAGGATCATTGTTGTTTTTTAAAGGTTTTTTTTTTTTCAAAAAATACTTAGTTAAGGTTTTTGGATATTCTCATACTGAATGTCAAGTGTTACATAGTTAAGGGTTTTTGGATATTCTCATACTGAATGTCAAGTGTTCGTATTTAATTAAAAAGGTATTACTGTATATAAACTCAACTGTACCAGAAAGCCTACAATCTATGGATATACATATTTATGTTTTGTGAATAAGACAGCATACATTCAATTAATCTCAATTTGAGAGACCTATGGCACTCCAGTTATAACAGAATTGAGAACTAATTTAGATTCAGGAACGTATATCATTCACATGTACATTTTACAAATATTTTTCCACAAGTACATCAACAAAAATTTCTGCTTATTTCTAAAATGAGGAAGAGTCAGTTAAATACAATATTTTATTAATAATGGTATCAGATGTAAATTATTATATGGCACATTTGTTGTTTTTAAGCTTTTCCAGGTTTGAAAATGCTGGTAATCAAGGACACATTCAAGTACTTTACTTCAATTTGAAATGCACTGTACCATATCAGAGCTACTATTTCAGTGCTAATGCTAACATTGTGATTCTCTGACCTCAGCTCTCTAAAATCTTATTAATATTCTTATATCAGGAATACCAAACTTTGTGAAAAGAACCAAAATGACAAGGTACCAGGAGATTAAACTATTTTAGACAGAAGGTATAAAGATAAAAATTTCCAAAATTTGTACTTTGACACCTTGCTAAGAGGACTGGTTTTCAAAGACTGTATTTTTAAAATGAAAAATTAATGCTCACATTCATAACATTTGTCTGCTCTTGTGTTTTCCTTCATAGAACAATTGTGGCAGGTTTTTACAGGGCTATTCATCTCTGGTAATACAGTGCTTTCCACAGAAAGGCACACATTTTTATATCTGCGAATTTTAATGTTGTCTGCTAGCTGTTTACATTCAACAACAATAAACGTCTGAAGTTGATCACCTTTTTCTTCACTCTATGATTACAGATAGGGAATAGCAGGCAGCTGCTCTCCTGGGATGCACTTTGGACACCCCTAAATTTCATAGAGAAGAGTTCACTAACATTCATATGCCAACCCTACCATCTGCAAACCTTACCTGACAGCAACTTCATTTCTTTCTCCTTTTCAAGTATTGTGATCACATGGTTGAACGGCAGGCGAGATTACGCACAGCCTTTTCAGTAGCATACCATCCCAATAGATAGAGCTGGATTGACAAATAAAGACCCTGTCCTTGTCTTCAGCAAGATTGGGTCTTAAATGGTAACATGCTGGCATATACTGTTCACTTCTTAGCATATGAACCACAGCTACTATTGTTAAACTGAAGGGAAGTACCAAATGGCAAAATAATCTAGTTTGACAAGGCAGAGTTTCACCTTCTTGTGTCGTTTGGCCAGAGATTGGCTCTCCAATTTCTAATCACAGTTTGCAGTAAGGGAATGTCCTTTTCAGGAGTCTAATTCCTCCATCACTTCCATGACAATAGTTCGAGGGCCAGTCAGAATGAGATTGCTCACTGTCCTGTAGTCCACATGAAGAACATTGAGTCCATTCACAGAAACCACAAACTGACAGACCTACAGGGAAAAGAGAAGGGATGTATTACAATTGTGGTGGACTTGCGCTTCCCTTTGTGGCAGATGCAACAATATTCTACTCAGTCAATTCATTTCTCCAACAGAATTAACATTTGCACATTTTTTCACATTTGGTGAGACCGTGCCAATAGATAACTAATAAATAAATGAAATACAAAATAATACTAATATCTCACTGCAAGAGTTCAAATACGTCAATGTGCAAGGAGTAAACTCCCTGTTTAACTCGCTTCTAATATCTGAAAAGATTAAAAGGGACAGATAATGAAGCAAGCTCCTGATTGACTAGTCAATCAAATGCTAAGTGCCTAACAACCTGATCCAAAGCTCACTGAGTCTTTCTATTGACTTCTGTGGGCATTAGATCAAGCCCTAGAGAAGAGAATCAATGAAGAAATAACAGAAGATAGCAGCAATCAGCTACTGAGTACTATAGAGACTTAGGTATATAGATACTATGGTGTGGGATACAGTCTGATGGCCAAGGCAAACCAGAATGATAAGACTATCAGAGTGGTTAAAAATGGGAATAAATTGCCTAGAGAGATTGTGGAATCTCCATCATTGGAAATGTTTAAAAGCAGGTTGGATAGACATCTATCAGAGATGATCTAGACGGTGCTTGGTCCTGCCATGAGGGCAGGGGACTTGACTTTATGACCTCTTGAGGTCCCTTCCAGTTCTAGTATTCTATGACTGTAATGCTTTTAATGCTTCTGCCTCCCTGGTCCTCTTTGTCTTTAAGAATAGTTTCTTGTATGAAAACAGACAAGAGCTACATTTGAAACACCTAACAGTTCTATAGTTCTGAAGGATTCCACCATGTAAAGGTTAATTTCTAAGGACAGATGTGACGAATATCATTAAAAACAGGAGGCTCTTTCAAAACTACAGAATATTTAACTACTTCCACTGTATCATTCAATTTTTCATATAATACCATGATTCACATAGTACAGTACTTTAAAAATCTGTAGAACAATAAGGCTCTGGACCCAAGCAGTGCATGGTCTAAAAAATCCTGTTACTCCAACAGCACTAACAGGATTAAAAGAAAATTAAATGCATGCATAAGTGGAATCAGGGCCTAAAGGTGAAATCCTGATCCACTGAAGCCAATGGCAAGAATTTCACCCTAAGAATCCAAGTTGTTAAGTTCCAATAATCAATGGGAGTAATAGTCACTTAGTATTAGAGCGAATCAGAAAGTACTAGTCCCCCTCCCTGCCAGAAATTTTTAGAAAAGCTAATTTTTTAAATTTCCTGAAAACATTTTTCAAATTGTCATAAAAAACACTGACCAATTTGAGGCAGTGAAATGTTTTCAAATTCAAAATTTATTTATTTTTGTTTTATTTTATTCAAATGAAATAAAAATGTTCAGTGAAAAATGGTCACTTTCTGTGAAATGTTTGGATGTGAAATATTTTACCAGCAATATTTTGCACTTTAAAAAGTTAGAATCATGCAGAAAGGAGGATGCCATGCGATTCATCCTGTCCTGTTCATGCTGGTTTTAAGCAGGCTCCCCACAAGCATCAGATCTGCCTTCCCCTACCCCCTGCACTGCTGCCTCTGATAGAGAGGCAGCAGCGCAGAGTATGAGTGGGGGCAGGCTGGACCCGATATGTGTGGGGAGCCAGCTTTTGGCTGTCTGTGTGTGCCGGCTCTGTGGACCCGCCTGCCCCCCTCCTTGTTGCCTCCTACAGACAGCGGTGGGAAGGGGAGGCAGGAGCCAGTGCTGATGGAAGCCAGCTTAAAAGCTGGTTCACTCTAGCACCAACTCTGTGGTGCCACCTGCCCCCACCCCCACTCTGCTGCCTCTATCAGAGGCAGCAGGGCGGGGGGAATGCGGGGGAGCTGACATGAAGCAGACTCTGTCTGCGGCAAGCCTGGGGGTTACTCCAGCCTCTGTCCATGAGGAGCTTGGACCCCCCGCAGTCAGGGGTTGCTGCCAAGGACCAGTCTCTATCCACGGTAGGCCCAGGCTTGCCATGGACAGAGGCTGCTCAGTGGAAGGGGGACAGGGGCTGCTGCTGGATACAGAGGCAGCAGCACGGGGTGGGAGGGGGCTCCCTGGGAGTGGGGCCGGGAGCACACTGGCTTCTGCTCCCCCCCACCAGGGACTATCGAATAGTTCTGTAAACAGAGAGATTTCATGCAACTATTCAATTACGCTATATCTAACATCCCTATCCAGAACTTCTAAAAAATATTAAGTAAGTAATACAGGCTGAACCTCTCTAGTCTGGCACTCTCTCATCCGGCAACATCCGTGGTCAGGCATCATTTTAGTTAGCTAGATATCTACTTATCATGGGACTGCCCAAGTTTCCCACAGTCCCATAAAATTTTACAGCCACCATTGTCTGGCTCTCAGTGTTCTGTGCTGTTATTTAGCTCTAATTTACCCTTAAATATCTTCTAAGGGCCCATTAAGCAATGGAAGTGTTGGTAATGCTGCTAAACATCATTAACCTCTTATGGTTCAGCAAATTCACTGGTTTGGCACTGGTCAGGTCCCAAAGGTGCTGGAGTAGGGAGCTTCAACCGGCATTCATTCCTCCTTGTCTTTTGGCTGCTTACTGATAATCTAAATATTCACTAATAAGGGTTGTACCTCCCTAAAACGTGACTCTCTGCTCTGGCAACATCTGTGGTCCAGCACAGACCATGGATGTTCCTGGACCACTGATCCCAGGAACAGGGAGGTCTGGTAGTGGTGCAGAAGTGCGGTAGGGGGGACTGGTAACTCAACCGGGAGCCTCATGTTGGGGGGGGTAGCCCCATTAGCCCAGGAGCTCTGACCCCAGTGGCAGCCCTGGCTCCGTTCTGGGTCCAGCAGCTGGGATCTCTGGCCTCACCCTGGTCCCGGAGCTTCAGCCCTAGCAGCAGTCCGGCCAGCAGCCGCTAGAGAGCCCTGGGGGACTGAGGCAGCAGTGGGGCCAGGCTGGAGTCCTGGCCTGGGGGCAGCAGGGAAGCATGGGCTATGAGGGGAGGGACATAAGAATGGCCATACTGGGTCAGACCAAAGGTCCATCCTGCCCAGTATCCTGTCTGCCAACAGTAGCCAATGTCGGATGCCCCAGAGGGAGTAAACAGAACAGGGAATCAAGTGATCCCTCTCCAGTCATCCATTTCCAGCCCCTGAGAAACAGAGGCTAGGGCCCCCATTCCTACCCATTCTGGCTTTTTCACCGTTCCTACCCATTCAGTTTTGTAAAAGGAAGGTAGGCTAACGTTAACTGTAAAATCAGTACAATAATATTGTTTTAAGAATGAACTATTTATCCATAAACGATATTCATATATACATTGGACCTCCTCTGATCCACCAAATCCTCTCATTCAGGACCTGTCAGGTCCCCAGGGTGCCCAACCAGGAAGGTCCAACTCCTGTATGAATACCAAGGAAATCCTTCCCTTTACAAAACTTTTCTTAACAGTGTTCCTGTGATTTTAGTACTGTATGCACAATGTTTTAAGTCTGAAAGTCCTGAAAGATAAGAAAATGCTAGGAATTCCTGCAGCAGCACTTGGCATAAGTGAATACTGCAAGGTTTCACTAGAACCGTTCCAAAGAAACACTTAATTTTATAGATGCCTGAATGCAAATGTTCATGAGACCACTAATATAAAAAGCGCTAAAGTGGGGATGAATTTTATCTTGTCATTTATATTAAGAGAAAAATCTGGCAATTTACCCACAAAATAGCAGAATAAGACCCTCATTCTGAACTGGTTTCTGTTCTTGTCAACACCTAATGCTGATAAATAAAATCAACGATGATTTGTACCACTGTTTTTAGGAAGTCCAAGCACTTTTACAAATTGCTACCAGGTGGTACTAAAAGTACTGTTTTAACAGATACAAAATAGCAGATCGCTTTTCATTTAAAAAAAAATACATTTCTGCAATGATCATGTGAATTCTGGGCCCAGTGAAGTCACCATTGACCGGTCCCAGAGTTCCCCTGCCACAGCTGAGTGGCTGGAGCAGCCAGTCCCCCATTTGCTGCATCTAGGGCAGCTTGCCCCCACTAACCCAAGCAGTCCAGACTCCCTCCCTTTGAACCCTGTGCCTCTGGAGCCCCCTGCCATTGGCTACCCCATGCTCCCCCTCACACTTCTTCACCCACCCTCTGTCCCAGCACCACCCCAGAGCCTGCACCCCCAGACAGAGCCCTTGCACCCTAGTCCTTTTTTCCAGCCCTGAGCCCCTCATCCCCAGAGCCCTCACACTCCTGCATCCCAACCCTCTGCCCCAAAACTAAGCCCCCTCCTATCCTCAGAACTCCTTGGCTCCACCCCAGCCACATGCATTTTGTTATGTGCACCAATAAGAAGAAGGTGATATGTTGTTCATCACCTCCACTTTTCACATTACCTCCATATTGGTGCACATAACAAAATTCATTCTGCGCTGGGGTGGGAAAAATTAGAGGGAACAGTTCGGAAACCCCTTTCAGGTAATCGAAGACTGCTATCAAATCCCCATCCCCCACCCTCCCTTCTCTTCTGCAGACTAAATAAGCCCAATTTCCTCAGTTTCTAAATCATGCCCTGCTTTTATTGTTTTAGTAGTTTATGTTTAACCTAATACTGTGCTCAATTTGCATTTTTTAAAAAAATCTCTGCTGTTGCCTGATTGTCTATTTCCAGTTCCAAATGAGGTGTGTGGTTGCCTGGTCAGTTGGTAACTCTGTTGTTTGTAATGCTGAGATTCTACTGTAAAACTTAATATCCTCTCACTCTCATTTGGGCCAGAGAAAATCTCAGCTTGTCCCAGCTTCCTACACTGAGATCCAGACCCCCAAAGAACTTGACAAGGTCCTCCAAGAAAAGCATGGAATTCAAGTTTTTATACAATTTTTTATAAAGATTTAAAAATAAAATACTCTCTGTCCAGTTTAAGGTCTTCTTTAAATGTCATACAGGAACAATAAAGGATAGACGTTTGTTATTTTGCCTTGTAGGTC